TCACTGCTAAGCTGGCTGGTTTGCTCCAGTCACTCCCCTCTCTCACAGGATGATGGGACACAATTTCCCTGGATTATTGACTTTTCAGATATGCAAGTTTATACAACCATTTTGTGATAGTAGACCTGTTTATCAAGATGGCTCGTTTTATTTCATACAAGAGAGTATCAACTGCTCTAGAGACTGCAAAATTCTTCCTAGACTATGTTTTTCAGTTCTGGAGTTTAGCCAATCATGTAATCTCAGATTGGAGCTCTAAATTTACACCCAATTTCTGGAAAGCCCTCTTCCATTTGCTGAATATTCATATACATTTGTCATCATCTCATCAAATGGGCAGAGAAAACTAACATTCTGCTGGTACAATTTTTGTGGTGCTACATTTCCTATGAACAGGAGAATTGCCCTAATATGTCAGTTGCAGAAGGTGTATATAGCTTTAGACTGGATTTGGCATTTTTATCCACCTATCGAGTCCTTCCCAAGGACCTGGGATAGGCAGGTGTTGTTGTTTGATGGTGTTAAAGGTATCATCGCAGAACATAAGCTGTTCCCAGTAATGCTGCCTTTTTGCAATTAACTGATGGTGATTTTGTCAATGCCGCTGGTCTTCAAGTGGTGTTCCAGATGTTTTGGGATTGCACTTAAGTGGCCTATAATTATTGGTACTATCTTTGCTTTCTTTGCCATAGTCATTCTACTTCTATTTGCAGGTCTTTATATTTTGTGGTTTTCTCTGGTTCTTTCTCTTCTATTCTGCTGTCTCCAGGTATTGCAATGTCCACTATGCAGACTTTTTTGTCTTTCTTATCAACAATTCTTAAGACTGGGGTGTTGTGTGGCAGGTGCTTGTCTGAATTCTAAAGTCCTAGCGCACTTTAGCTCCTTCATTTTCTATTACTTTGTCTGTTTTGTGGTCCCACCAGTTCTTGCCTGCAGGAAAATGGTATTTCTTGCAGATATTCCAATGCCGTTGTTTGTAGTCAGTCTGTGTGATCTTCTTGCAGCAGCTAACTAGGTGGTCCACTGTTTCTTCAGCTTCTTTGCAGAGGCGGCATTTGCTGTCTGTTGCTTCCTTCTCAGTTCTGGCTTTATATGCATTTATTCTTAAGGCTTGGTCTTGTGCAACCAGAATTAGCCCCTCTGTTTCTTTCTTCATCTTTCCTGCTCTTAGCCTCTGCCAGGACTTCTTGTTATCTGCTTTGCCTGCTAGTTTGTTTGTGGACTGGCCATGTAATACTTTGCCTTGCCATGTCTCTTTTCTATTCTTCATTTGGT